TTATGCCCAGCTGATGGCCAAGAAAAGCACCATGGCCCGGGCTCCAAACATTTCTGACCAGTTACAGCCGAGCTGACAACGTGTGTGACCTTCTGGCCTCTGCAGTGGTCCCATTTGTACCCCCCCAACCTCAATTTTGTGCCCTCCCCCCCGCCCAGGAAAGAAGCTGGCTTGAAGAATGCCCTCCCTGCTGTTGGCCTGAAGCTCAACGACCTGATCCAACGCCTGCAGCTCTGCTACCAGCTCACCACGGCCGGCAAATTCGAGGAGGCCGTGGAGAAGTTCCGCTCCATCTTGCTCAGCGTGCCCTTGCTGGTGGTGGACAACAAGCAGGAGATCGCTGAGGTGAGAGGGGGACTCTTCTGTCCCCTCTTCCACGTGTCTGTGGGGCAGGAGGCCAAAGACATGACTCTCTTCCCTCTCTAAAGGCCCAGCAGCTGATAGCCATCTGCCGGGAGTACATTGTGGGGCTCTCCATGGAGATTGAGAGGAAGAAGCTGCCCAAAGAGACCCTGGAGCAGCAGAAGCGGATCTGTGAGGTAGAGAAACTGTGAATTTCTTCACTTGAAAGGAGATGAGGGGGAAATAGGGTGCAAAAAGGCACTGGGAAGCCTGAATTCTGCCACTTCCCTCCTTTAAAACGATTACTTGGGAGGGGTTGAGGTGCTGGAGCGGGTCCAGAGAAGGGTGACAAAGATGGTGAGGGGTCTGGAGAATAAGTCTGATGAGGAGAGGCTGAGGGAGCTGGGGTTATTCAGCCTGGAGAAGAGGAGGCTGAGGGGAGACCTTCTTGCTCTCTCCAACTCCCTGAAAGGAGGGTGTAGAGAGGTGGGGGTCGGTCTCTTTTCTCAAGTCCCAGGCGACAGGACGAGAGGAAATGGCCTCAAGTTGCCCCAGGGGAGGTTCAGGCTGGATATTAGGAACAATTTTTTCACTGAAAGGGTTCTCAGCCCTTGGAATGGGCTGCCCAGGGAGGGGGTTGAGGCCCCATCCCTGGAGGTGTTCAAAAGCCGGGTTGATGTGGTGCTGGGAGGGATGGTTTAGTGATGATGCTCCTTGTTTGTTGTGGGGGTGTCTATTTTTGTCAGTGAGGTTGACGGTTGGACAAGATGATCTTGAAGGTCCCTTCCAACCTAGAAGATTCTGTGATTCTGTTTCTTGCAGTATTTTAGGGCTTTCACTTATTTGTGTGGTTGGTGGTGATTGTATCCCTACTTTTCCTCCTTGCCCCTGCAGATGGCTGCCTATTTCACCCACTCCAACCTCCAGCCCGTCCACATGATCTTGGTGCTTCGTACTGCCCTCAACCTCTTCTTCAAACTCAAAAACTTCAAGACGGCCGCTACTTTTGCCCGTCGCCTGCTGGAACTGGGTCCAAAACCCGAGGTGGCCCAACAGGTACGTCCGTGAGGGGCACGGGCAGAAATATCTGCTGGGGCAGACCTTCTTTGGACTCCCTTCTCCTTGTCCCTCTGGTCAATTTGGTGGCTTTTTGCAGACCCGCAAGATCTTGTCGGCGTGTGAGAAGAACCCCACCGACACCTACCAGCTCAACTATGACATGCACAACCCCTTTGACATCTGTGCTGCCTCGTACCGCCCCATTTATCGGGGCAAACCCGTGGAGAAGTGTCCTCTCAGTGGTGCCTGCTACTGCCCCGAGTTCCACGGGCAGATCTGCCGCGTCACCACGGTAAGGGTGTCCTGAATTCTGCCACCCCCCCTCCAAACTGTGTGGTGACACTCCTGAGGGACGGGGTGGCATCCAGAGGGGGCTGGATGAGGGGGCTGGCCTCACCTTGAGTACTGTGTCCAGTTTTGGGCCCCCTACCATAAAAAAGGACATCGAGGGGCTGGAGCGGGTCCAGAGAAGGGCGACAAAGCTGGTGAGGGGTCTGGAGAATAAGTCTGATGAGGAGAGGCTGAGGGAGCTGGGGGTGTTCAGCCTGGAGAAGAGGAGGCTGAGGGGAGACCTTCTTGCTCTCTCCAACTCCCTGAAAGGAGGGTGTAGAGAGGTGGGGGTCGGTCTCTTTTCTCAAGTCACAGGCGGCAGGATGAGAGGAAATGGCCTCAAGTTGCCCCAGGGGAGGTTCAGGCTGGATATTAGGAACAATGTTTTCACTGAAAGGGTTATCAGGCATTGGAATGGGCTGCCCAGGGAGGTGGTTGAGGCCCCATCCCTGGAGGTGTTCAAAAGCCGGGTTGATGTAGTGCTGGGAGGGATGGTTTAGTGATGATGCTCCTTGTTTGTTGTGGGGGTGTCTATTTTTGTCAGTTGGGTTGACGGTTGGACAAGATGATCTTGAAGGTCCCTTCCAATCTAGAAGATTCTGTGATTCTGAGATGTGGTCCTGTGTGACCCTTATGGGGTTCAACCAGGCCAAGGGCAGGGTCCTCTCCCCCTGGGTGGGGGCAGCCCCCAATCCCAGCCCAGGCTGGGGATGGAGGGATGGGGAGCAGCCCCAAGGAGAAGGGTTTGGGGGGGCTGGGTGGGAGGGGGAAGCTGGCCATGGGCTGGCACCGTGCACTGGCAGCCCAGCAAGGCCCCTCCACCCCCTGGGCTGCACCCCCAAAGGGTGAGGGGGGGGGATTCTGCCCCTCTGGGGAGACCCCCCTGACCCAGTGCTGCCTCCAGCTCTGGGGCCACCACCATCAGAAGGACATGGAGCTGTTGGATGGGGCCTCCCCGGAGATGCTGAGGGGGCTGGAGCCCCTCTGCTGGGAGGGGGGGCTGAGAGAGTTGGGGGGGTTCAGCCTGGAGAAGAGAAGGCTCCGGGGAGACCTTGGAGTCCCTTCCAGTCCCTCAAGGGGCTCCAGGAGAGATGGGGAGGGACTCTGGATGAGGGAGGGGAGCCCTAGGAGGAGAA